AGTTTCAATGGAGGAATTGAAGTTCTCAACCTCTTCTAAACTTTCTTAGTCTCGGGTGAAGTCATTTCTATCTTCTTCTTTTTTCCCCTCCTTTTGTGTGTGTGTGTGTAATTTTCATATGGTAATGTTAGGCTAACTCATCATGTATGGACGATGAAACCGTTGATTTATAGGTTTTAATTTAAGACTTATTAATTTTTAGTTAATTCTTGTGTTCTTGATTAAATGTGCATGAGTCTTGTGTTGTTTGGATGTTTGGCTCTCATTTAGATAACTAGCTGCTTTTTTGTATTGTTAAGAGGCTCACAATAAGTAGAGTACTATGTATATAATACACGAGCAATAGATATTATGAATAGTATTTATGGCTTGTGTAATTGTGTGAGATAATTCTATAATTGAATGCTTGCTTTGCGTATAAATTCAGACTAAAAATATGATTAGATTGTGTTACGCATATATTTAGTATATCTTGGAAGAAAGTATTAGATATTAACGGATTATTTATTGTCATAAACACATTAGTCAAACCAACTTACATAAGTCAAGAATTGGAACTAGACTGATATAGGTGAATTGTGAAATCCAATACATTTATTTCATCTTTGAATAAAAACTAATATTTTATTGCTTTAATAGTTTAAATTATAATAATAACAAAAAAAAAAAATCTATTTTGTATTACACTTATTGAATTGGGCAGTAACTATTACAATTCAATTAAACGTTTTCCTCGTGAGACAATAACTCAACTCATTACGTAAATTTGTCAACAATTTCGTACGCTTGCGAGGTTTGTCTGAACAAATTGGTCAAAAATCAATATGTTAAAAATAAATCTATAAGTCATAATTCACAGAACGATGATAATTCAAACAATAAATTTAAAGTATTCAAGAGTAATAAATTAGTAATTATTGTGGTCCAAAAACTAGATGCAAGTGTTAAATTAAAAAAAAATGTTATTCTCCTTGTACACAGTCTCCTCACATGAGGTGGCCTCACGTCGAAGCTGGGGCCTCCTCATGTGAGGGAGCTATATATACATGTTATATGCATAGCACTGTCCAATTATAAAACAAATTGGATGCAAAATTAATATTATTTAACTTAAGTCTTCGGGCCAATCATCCTGGGAACCCAACAACAACAATCTCAGCAACCAAACAACAACTACTATCCAAGCAACCAAACAACCATTATTCCTGAAAATTTTAAAAAACAAAAAATTTAACCCACCACCAGATCGTCCTAGATCCGTGCACTGACCTAATATATGGTCCAAGTTAGACCCATACAATCCTACGTATTTAGGATCTGGTCGCGTAGGGCTATTAATCTAAAAAAAAAAAAAGATTGAACCCAAATCTTGAGGGCTCCCACTGCTCCGTCCCTAGAGATTTGTGAGGAAGGTAAATCGCGGGATGTGCCCCAACAGGCCAGGGAACAAAAACTGTTTGTACACTGCGCCTCGTAGGCCCATTAATCTTCTAGACGGGCATGACGCCCATTTTGCGTATCAAGCCAGATTTACATGGCTGTTGTTGAGATCGTGGCCATTTTTTTTCTTTTTGCCTTTTCATTTTTTTTTATCTTTGTCGAGTCCTATATTCAATCTGTCAATCATTATACAAGAAATTTCAAAATCGCAGAAATTGAAAAATCAAAGTGAAAGAATCCTAAGACTTAATTTCTAATTGAAATATACAATTTGATCAGGATGATAGAGCCTGTAACTCACATATCTTGTTACAAACTTGAAATAACGAATTGCAATCAACAACAATGATTATAAATAATTGGATTACAGTTTAAAATAATTTCAATCATTCAATCACCATATAGAAGCTATTAATCCTAAATATCGTTCGACTGGAACGTACAATCAAAGATTCGAGATGTATAACAAGCATATGAACGATTTAAATCTGACTCTAATACCAATTGTTGAAATTTAGAAACAAAATTAACTAGAAATTAGTATTTTTTTTTTAATTCAATCATAAAGAATCTTTACGAGATATTCAAGTGTATGCTACAATCAAGAAATAGAGATTTAAATTTTACATAATTTGTTATTGGGTTTGTTGATTGGATTTCAATTGCGAACTTCCAACTTTTTAATTCACAAACCTAGCGCTCCCAATATTGAAGTTTTATTGTATTCTTTACAATATAGACTCCAATTGTCACACCAGTATAGTCAACCCTAGATCAAAGAATTTAATTGATAATATTTATTTTTTAACTAAAGGCAAAAGATTGCGCTCTCCTAAATTATATGTGCAATATTTTTCTTTGACCTATTACGCCCTCGCTTGGCCCCCATTAATTTTCATTCTATTACATTTTATTTTCTCTCTCTTATTATCAACCGCTCAATCTTTCATAAAATAATATTACTCGTAAATTGAAAATTTTTTCTTCTTTTTCAACCACTCATTTTTTAAAAAAAATAATAATATTCTACCCATTTTCATTACCACAAAATGGGGGCCAGATGGGGGCTACATATATATTTCATCCCATCCGAGATTCAATAATTATGTATTGACATAAATGATTGTTTTGTTCCTCTATATATCCTTACAAACCTAATTTACATTTTCTTATCATATAAACCAATCACGGATATCAAGATGTCTAATCGACACTAAGCACTTAGATCAGTTTTATAACCAATCAACGAATAATGCCTAGGTAATCACTCAATCCATTTTTTAGGACGACGGTTCCCAAAACGAATTCATGCTTTCTACTTTGCTTCTCGGCAAGCTTTCAACTTATTCAGATATTTGATCAATCAGAATTGATCTATCCCATTGGTAAATCAAGGCACCAAAAAGATATGCACAATCATGCCAAGGAATTTAGGTAAAATACTCGGTGATCATAAAACTTAACTCTTCATGATCATGCTATAAAATTAAACTCGATATGTGATTAGTTTAATATACTCCAAGTATACTGGGTTATCTTTAAACCGTTTTTGCGATAAGGCAAAATTCCATACTCGAACTGTCAAATAGTCAACCCTACAATCTTCTAGTACAAGATGTCAACCTCTATACATTTGTTGTGAACATTTTTATTTGTGATCAAAATATATATTATGTTACATCGTGCTTCTAAATGTAAGTACCCAATTTATATTATCACGAGTGATAATTTGCCCTTTTATGCTCATGCTCAATATTTTACAATAAAACTATATGGACGAACAATTCAACAGTTTTCGTGTACCTTCTGCACATGCTCAATTTTTAATATTCTCTTCAAAAATTTGGAATATAAATTGATTTATTATTTCTTTACCTTAAGTCACTAGAAAAATTCTTCAAATATATGACCTAAGAAATACTGAGATTTAAGATTTTCACTCAATTTCATCCAAAATTGGAACATTTTCATTTTGATCCCAAACTTTTTTTGTTATTTCCCACTTCAAATTTCTTGAAAGTTTGGGATGCTATAGTTTTTGGTTTGACACCAATATGATTTGTATATATAACGAGACAGTAGTATGTACTAAGATCAATACCAATTATAGGTAAATATGTAAAATGTCATTAATTGAGAATTACGAACAAGTTAAAACAAAGGTTCCACTCGACAATATTCTTCTTCCAATTCTATTTGCGAAAACTTATGATTTATTCAAAGTGATGTTTGGAAAATAACTTCTTTATAGTTCAATCGTCAAAGTCAAAAATCATCCCTGTTTGACCCCCAGCCTTTTAAAATTTATTCATTGAAACTCAAAACTTTTTAACTACATAAATCAACTTTTATTAAAATGATAAAATCTACTAAAAATCTTTTTTTTTTTCTCAAAACTAAACAAGGGCATTATAACAACACAAACCACGATTACTATTCACTTATCCGTTATATCAAATTATAATTTTATTCAAATTAGTACAAGACAATCGCTACTCCTTTGACCAACAACCATGTGTATCAATAGCAGCTATTATGTAGTTACTTAAGATGAAAGGAAGAAAATAAAGTTAAAATCATCAGATAAACTTCCAAACGTTTCGCTCAAAGAGTTAGCAAGATAAATTTTACCTTCAATGAGTGTCTTGACTTAATGTGGATATTTATACTCCTGTTTGGTGTAAATTAAAATTAGTTTTTTAATAATATTTAATAAAAGTAATGAGGAGTATGATTGAAAAATACTCCTGTTTGATGTAAATTAAAATTAGATTTTTAATAGTATTTAATAAAAATTAATGAAAAGTGTGGTTGAAAAATTGTAAATCTTATAAAACTTGTGTGGTTGAAATTATTTCTTGACTTCAACTAATAATTTTAATTAGATTTTAATCTAAAACATGCAGTGACTCGATAAAAATCAGATAAGACAAGCAGATAATTCACGCGAGCCAGTTGCACAGCTTCGAAGTTAGAATTGCAAGATGTCAAAAGGTTAGTCAAGTTTATTTTCGTGCACGTGAACACCCTAGATAACTCCCCACATGTGCAATCCCCACTGATGAATCAATGACCATTGACTTCTCTCCTCTCTTGACCAAATAGTAAAAGGATAATGTCATTTGTATGAATTTTGACAATGCCGTTGAAAATATTGTATGAGTCACATAAATAGTGCTGGTTGGAAAGATAAATTGTGCTTTGAACTATCCAATAAAAATATACCACTACATGTTGTCGACTATATTGTAAAAATACCCTCCGAAGCATAGTTTAGTGGTGCAAAGGACAGGAGTGATGTTATCTCACGTTTTGCTGGCAGTCGCAGTGTGGAGGTTCGACTCTTGAGACATAAAATTGGACTTCTTGTAGGCGCAGTGTACATATATCTCTTGTTTTCTGGCCTGCTGGGGGTATATCCCGCGATTTACTTCCCTCACATAGCTCTAAAGCGGAGCGATGGATCCTCAAAGTTGGGGTTCAACCCCTTTATTTTATTTTATTATTTTTTAAGCTATGTTGTAAAAAGTATTCTGGACCAAGCATGATTGATAATACAGTTCCCGAATCTAATTCTTCAGGACCACCTCTTTTTATCCTCCATACCGTAATAATCCAATCAGATTCCATTAATTAATTTGGCCCCTCTGATTTCCCTTTCTAGAATTGTTTGTACGCCATGACCTCCACCTCTGCTGCTTCACGAAAGGTACTTTTTAAATCCCAATTCATCAGTATTTCTTGTATCTATCAGTTGTAGTATAGGTGTAGTGGTGGATGTGGATGTGGATGTTGTATAGCCCTCTGAATAACTTTCATTTTTTTTGAAAATTGATCGAGTGATTTATTAGGCTTTGAGCAAGATTGCATGCAATCGCCTACAGAAAGAGCTCACTGAATGGCAGGTGAATCCGCCATCGGGTTTCAAGCGCAAAGAAACCGATGACCTCCAGAGGTTTTTCTCCATTTTTTTTTTAAACTTTAATTTTCGTTGATTTAGTGTTTAATTTTATTAATTGATTAAAAAATCGGAAATTTGGTGTAATAATGTATTTAATTTTGGTGGCTTTAGATGGGTAATTGAAGTAAACGGTGCACCAGGGACGCTGTATGCAGGTGAAACATACCAGCTACAGGTTGATTTTCCGGAGCATTACCCGATGGAAGCGCCTCAGGTGAAATATTGAAATGATTTTATTTTTTCTTTTCCATGTGTGATGAAAAAAATACACAAAGGAAAATTTTACTTTGACTTTGTTTTCTAGGGTTTGAAGAAGTTTTTAATTTTCTTCATTGGTGATAGAGATTGGTTCATTTAATTTGACTGACTTTTTGTTTTTTCTTGGGCAGGTTATATTTATACCTCCAGCCCCACTTCACCCTCACATTTATAGCAATGGGCATATATGTCTAGGTCTGTTTCTCTATGCCCTTTGAATTGCATTCACAATTTTTCCGATTTTGAATTTTATATCATATGATTGTTTGTTGTTTTAATTTATTCCTTTCTCTATTGGTTTATAATTGGTACAGTAAGTGTTTCATTGTGTATTTACCGCCTTCTTGGTTAAAGTTCATGGACATATTGGTTTTTGAGTTTCTGCCTATAAAATTAATATCCTATCCTCGTATGAAATATAAACAAAATGTTTCTATCGGTGCCTTCATTTCATGGAAGTTGGTCAAGTTGGTCAAGGCAGAAAGAGCAGTTCAAATTTTAAAATACGCTGGGTTGGCACCTACTACAGCTCTGTCTATGTCCTGTCTAGGTAGAAAGAGGGCACTGGAGCGTTGCATAAGATGCCTCCATTTTATTGAGGCTCTAGACACTAGAGTTAGCTAATAGTCTTTACTGACTGAATGGAGAAGCATCTGTGCAACTGCTTCTGTAGTACTCATATCTAATACTTCAATTTTGTGCATCCATGTCAATAGTCGGCATAATTTTTTATGTTCTGAAGAAAGCTGTGTTTCATCACTAGGTAAAAAGACTTACCAAAAAATCACTAGGTAAAAGGAAAGGATGGGGATGGTTTCTTCAGTTTGTGATATAACTAAATGATACTGATGATGTTTGAAATTTCTTATTTCCACTTATTCTATATATTAGTGATTGTTAGAGGTGTAACATGGGTTATATTGAGCCTGCTTTTTCCAAACTTTATTTCTCATAAGGAAGTGCAATAAAATGACAGATAAATATGTAAAAAATAAATTAGAACCGTTATTTTATTGATTGTGTAATTTCTGCAATGTGCAAACCACAATTTTATTCCAATCTACACTGACAGCAAGGTGTATTATATCTCACTATAATGTAAATACGTCTCAACTAGGTAGTATCAATCTCAGCATCAATTATGGGAATTATAAATTGTACAATTTATTGATTTTATTAATTATTCACCGTCTTGTACTTTGAGACTGTTGAAGTTGTTTGTTTTGGCTTCGACTGCTCAACATTCCAATTTTGTATTCACAACGCTTTGTTTTTCCATTCCTTCAACAATACATGCACTCCAAAATGCCTTGGTGCCAGGATTGTCCTTCATTCTTCAGCGCCTCGTTCTTTGCAACAAAACAGACTTTGATTTTACTTTTCAAGCCAGAGTCAATAGATTATGAGCGATATATCAAAGTAAAATAAATGTTGCAATTTAAAGTACCTAATTTTAATTTAAGATTTTCATTTATTTCTCTAAAATCTTCCAAACAATTAGACTGCAATGTACTTCTAGAAATTTTAATTTAATATTTTCTTGTCTTTGTGCTTTGGATTTTCAGTATAACGTCAAACTTCCCCTCAATTTGGCCTATGCATAAGGAAATTTTGTTAGATCGAGCTTATGTGGCCTCTTTATCATTGTGGCGTTACAAATGCCCATTAAACCACATTTCTTTTTATTCATTTTTATTTTTGGCAAATTAATGCATTGCCCAAGATTTATTATATTCTTTTAAATTAGCATTCACCACCACCCATGTGCAGTGACTCTTGGATGTACCTTGAGTTCTTTTAAAATATTGAAAACATCTCCAATATATTGGAGCGTAGAACCCCAAGGTGGAACATCATAATTAAGTTTATAATGAGAAGTAAAATTATTTTGATCTCATCTGCAAATGAAATTTGTGATAAACACAATCAGTACAATGGAAGACAGGAAGATAAAAAAAAAAAGAAAAAAAAAAGAAACATTTATGGGAAGGCTTTGTATTTTCTGTTGACTGTTGGCTAGTTTAAATTTTTTGAAGCTGGGCAATTAAGATAGTTATTATAGTTGTTCTGTTCCCAAATCACCCGCTTTGTGTTCACGTCATTTGCTAGGGCCTAGTTTGAAGAAATGCCTGTTTAACATGCTTTTTCGGTTTTTTATTTTTATTTATTTATTTATTTTTTTGGGTCTGGGGTGAGTAGGAGATTGGTTCCCTGAAAACTGGCATTTCTTCAGATGTTGTGGTGTTGAAAAATGATGTATATTGCATCATGATATTGTAGGTAGAAGTTGTTAGGTTCAAGGATCTGCAGAGTGAGATTTTGCCTTTCTTTGTTATCTTTGTTGGTAAGTTTAATCGGTAGTGTATGGAGTGGAATCGGGTTCTCATATACCGTATTTGTATTTTAGACACCGGATTCACACTTACCGTATTTGGCAATTGTTCACCGTATATGACAGTGCAACTCACCGTATTTGACAGTGCAACTTACCGTATTTGTTAGTTTACTGTATATGCTAGTTAGCTCACCATATATGACAGTGACGTAACAACAGAATTTTCACACTTTATGATAACTTAAATAACACAGATTTTGGACAAACTGTTTATTTTCATAAAATAATTTAAATAACACAGAACTTGAATTTTCACAAACACGATTTCATATCCCGGTTCGTATATACAAATATTATCTGATTAAACAAACTAAACTACTTGAATAAGAATAATAAATTATATAATTTGCAGAAATATAAAAGCAGTATAAATTTCAGAAAGCTAAATAGAATTTGAAAGCATGCTAAAATAAATCTGGAAGGCTTATAATTCTGCAAATAATTAAAGCACAGATATTTAAACTGAAAGCATCTAAATTTGGAAATAAACTTTTAACTCGAGGCCTATGTAAACACATTTTCCTTAAAACAAATTCGCTCTCTCACCGTAAGTGCTTGAGGTCTAGCCCAAGCGTCTGTTTCTCAGGATACAACGGCAAAACCAGCAAAATCTGAGCACCACAGAAACTATTCCGACGAATTGAGTTTGTGTTCGAACAATATCACCACAAAATTATGCTGGACAGAGACCGAGATGCAAACAAGAAGAAAATATGCAGAATGTTTTTTTTCCTATTTTCGTGTGGTTTTTTGTGTGTTTTGGAACTGTTGGAAAGTGGCAATTTATATAAGTTTAAATCTGCATATTAACTCCATAACAATAAATAATGGAGTTGTTTCAGTTTTTGGGAGTTTTGGCAGTTTCAGGAAACTCAAAGTTCAGTTGAAGAAAGCAAAAAATTGCAAAACGTAGACACTCCAAACGGGCCAATTTTTTCTCCACGCACCCGCACACAAGTTCAAGGTTCGAAGGCAATTTTGGTCCGTGATTTGCACCCCCCCTGCGAGCGTACGTGGAGAGAGCCTCTATGCTAAACATGATAACACCATTCCAATGTGCAATCCTATATAAAGTGGTTAATACTTTCTTCATTTTCCTATGTGGGACTAGACTCATTTTCCCACATAAACCATCTTCCAATGGTCATCTTTGAGCGCCAATTTCTCAATCATCCATTCATCAATTTTGGCAAATAAACATATAATTTTGATGCTCTCACGGAGGAGAATAAGGATCAACTTTGATCTTCCAAATTGGACCAATGGGTCCTACTGAAAATTTTGCCAAAGTGAGCCAATTCACTCATTTTTCCAACAGTCCCCCACATAAATGAAAATTGGGAGAAACACGAGATCATGAGACACGAGACTTGGTATGGTGATCGTGAGACACAAGATTAGGTGATAAAGTTCAACGGTTGAAGCCTGCATAGGATAGGTAGGTATTGCCCTTTGAACCTTCCTTTGTGAAAGAATATTTACTTTACTAGCTGACTAGTAGACGTGTTGTCCTTGAATTGTTTTGCCGTTTATGCAAATGATGATATACTTCACACAGGATCATTCCTAATACAATTCAGTTCTCATTATTATGTTGGTTTTTGGCCATGAACATATGTCTGGTTCTGTGAGAGTTATTAAGAATTGAGCCCCACACAATTCTCTTAAAAGCGGCCCCACTTCTCTCTCACATGGGTGATTTCTTATTACAAGTAACCCGCATTACTTGACTCGAACTTCGACGCATGAGAATCATTAAAAGCCTATTGCTTATCCTTCATCCTTACGGGCATTAATATTACATCATAGGAATAGACAGGAGGAAACACCCCCTCAGTGATTTTGTTAAGCCTTTACAATTAGGTTGTCCCTTTGAACCTAGATCTTGGGATCTTCAGTCAACTAGGTTGGGTTTCCTTTGTAATGACTTATTCATTCAAGGGCTTAAGTCTCATTCCTTTCGATGATTTCCTAACTAACTCTCTGTTTAACCCTTTGGTTAGCGGAGCCGCAATGTTATATTTTGACTTCACATAGTTAATAGTGATAACTCCAGTTGAGAGTAGTTGTCTTATGGTATTGTACATGTTACTCTGTGCTCTTCCTATTGCTGATTGACCGTCACAATATATGCAAATTGTTGGCACATGTTTTGACCATTTTAGAATATCCTCTATGAAGTTGCGCAACCATTCAGCCTCTTCACCACATTTATTTAGAGCTATAAACTCAGATTCCATCATAGATCTGATTATAACTGTTTGCTTAGAGGATTTCTACGATATGGCAGCACCTCTCAATATGAACACAAATCCACTAGTGGACTTTGAGTCTTTTATATCAGATATTCAATTAGTATCACTCTATTTTTCAATGACCGCTGGATATCTGGTATAATGTAGTCCATAGTCACGAGTATATCTTAAATACCTCTTACTCTTCCTTTCCAGTGATCAGCTCCTGAATTACTCGTGTAGCTACTCAGTTAACTGACTCTGTAGGCTATATCTGATCTTCTACGATTCATCAAGTACATTAGACTTCCAATAACTCTCGAGTATTCTACTTGAGAGACATTTTCACTTTTGTTTTTAGAAAGATGTTTACTCGTATCTATCGGTGTTCTAGTCAAGCCAGTATCATCCTTATTGAATTTTTCCAAAATTTTGTCCACATAATGTGACTGACTTAGAACAAGCCCATCTGATGTTTTTGAGATTTGGACTCCAAGAATAATATCAGCTAAACCCATATCTTTCATGTCAAATCTCGAATTTAACATAATTTTAGTGGATTCAAT